CCTTGCCCCCCCCCCCCCTGCAGCAAACCTCCGACTACGTGCCCCAGCTGGAGGCGTTTGTGCCGCTGCTGTGCGACAACGCCAGCCCGCGCGTGGCCGCCGGCGCCGAGGCGGCCTCCGCGGCGGCGGCCGCCGCCAGCGACGCCGCGGCGGGCGCCGTCGCCGCGATCGCCGCCGACCACTGGGCCGCGCTGCGCGCGGGCTGCCTGCGCGCGCTGCTGGAGCACCTGCGCTTCTGCGCCCGCCTCTCCTACGTCTCCTACCACCTGCTCGCCATCACCTACGCCGTGCTGGACTGCGTGGAGGCGTCGGGCCGCGGCGCGCCCCAGGTGCGCGCAGCCCCGACCGGCTACTAATGCGCCGGTGTGCCGCCAGGCGGTGACACAGGTCAACAGCCCGGCATACCCAGCCCTGCCTTGGCCTGCCCCCCTGGCCCGCGTGTTCAACCGTGCCTGTTCCCTTGGCCCCGGGCGGCTGCGATGGCGCAGGGAGTGTACACCTCGCCGCGCGCGATGCTGGAGGAGGGCGGCGGGCAGGGGCAGGGGCGTGGGCAGGGCGGGCGTGTGCATGTGCAGCGCGTGCTGGACACCAGCTTCAGCCTCACCCGGGGCAGCATCAGCCACGTTGTGGCCGCATCGCCGCCTGACGTGGCGGCGCTGCTGGTGTTTGAAGAGCTGGCGCACATGACGCGGGTGGGTGGGCTGGGCGGGTGGGATGTTGCGTGTGTGCTGGTGGACGGCCCTGGCGGTAAAGGGTGGGGCCGCGAGCAAGAAGCTGCTGAGCAAGGTGCTGCTGTGGTGGCGGCGGGGAGGTGATCAGGTGCCCATGCGGCTTCCCGAGCGCGGCGACTGACTGCGTGTGCTGCGTGCCGCGCGCGGCTGCCTGCAGGATGCGGCGGAGGGTAAGAAGGTGCTTGAGTTTGTGATGCGCTACCTGGACGCCGGGGGGCGCTGGCTGGGCACGCCGGTGCTGGAGACCAGCGCCGCAGTGCTGCAGCAGGCGTGCGAGCAGGAGCACCAGCGCTACCTGCTCTTCTCCAGCCTGCTGCGCCACGTGGTGGCGGCGGAGCAGCTGACGCCCGCGGAGCGCGGCGCCGTGCTGCGCCTCGCGGTGCACGAGAGCAGGCAGCTGGAGGCGGCGCTGGCGGCGCCGGCGCTGCTGCTGGCGCTGCGCGAGCTGCCCGCTGTTATCGCCAGCCACGGCGGGCCTGGGCAGCAGGTGCCGCCGATGCCGCCGCCCTCCACGCCGCCCCGTGCCGCGCCGCTGGGTGCGGCGCCAGACGGCGGCGCCCCGGCGGCGCAGCAGGAGCTGGAGCTGGTCGCTGTGGCGGCGGGGACTGCAGCGCCCGCCAGCCTGCAGCCGCAGGTGCTGGCAGCGGTGGAGCAGCTGGCTCGGCGGGTGGAGGACAGCGGGCAGCTGCTGGAGGCTGTGGCCAGCACTGTGGCCAAGCTGCGCGGCGCGGCGCCCATCTCCACGGCGGCGCTGCAGTGCTGCGTGGCGGCGGGGCAGGCGGTCGCCTTTGCTGCGCCCAAGGTGCGCGCCTGCCGGGGCTGGGCGGCAGGGTTGCAGGTGCAGGCGGCTTTGGCTCGGGCCCTGCCCGCCGCTAAAGGTGTGCATGGCTCCAGGCCAGAGCACTGCTTGCCCCTCACTTGGCCCTCACCGCCTGCTGCCTGGCCACTCACGCGCAGGCGTCCAAGGGGGGCGGCAGCGCACCGCGCACCTTCCCCTCCTTGCTGCTCCACGAGCTGGCCGGCATCGCTGTGAGCTGGGAGCCGCAGCAGCGGCTGCTGGCCCACCAGCTGCTGCTGCAGCTGCTGCCCGCGGCGGTGGATGGGCTGAAGGAGCAGCAGGCGGCGCTGCTGCTGTCGACGGTCTGGCACGAGGCGGGGCTGGCAGCCAGCGGGCCGGCCGCGTATGTGGCCATGGATCGCACGCTGCGCGCCCTGCTGGCAGCCGCCCCCGCCGCAGCGCTGCCCCAAGCGCTCAAGCTGGCGGCAGCTCTGCAGCTGGAGGTATTGGAGGCGGGCAACGGCTCGGCGCCGGCGGACGGTGGCCGCTTGGCGGTGCTGAGCGCGGCCCAGCTGTGCGCGGTGCTGTGCATGTGCCGCTCCCTGCTGGCCGCGCTGGCCGCTCAGCTGGGGCAGCCATCGCTGCAGCAGCTTGCCGCACCCGGCTGCGAGGGCGCGCTGCAGCAGCTGGCGGTTGTGCCTGCGCAGGGGCTGGTGCTGCGGGGGCCGGACAGCGGGAACGGCCTGGATGGCGCCAGCCCAGAGGCAGCGGGCAGCCAGCGGCAGCTGTTCTGGCAGGGCTCGGCGGTGTCGCTGGCATTCAGCGCTGAGGACCAGCAGGGCGCGGAGCGCTTCCTGGCTGGCTGGCGCCAGGCAACCACGGGCGCGGCGCAGCAGGCCGCGCTGGCGTCGGCGTTGGCGGCGGTGCCTCTGTTCAAGCAGCAGGGAGGGGCGGGCGCGGGGCCCTTCCAGCCCATGCCCCTGGCCTCACTGATGCCGCGCCTCATGCAGGTGGGCTGGCTTGGGGGGGTCTGCTGCTGTGCCGGGCCGTGCTGCTGCGCACATGCTTGGCTGAATGGCACGGGCGCCGGCATGCCCCCGCCTCCCTGCTCCGCTGCGCCGCTTGTTTCTGCGCACGGAGCGGCGACACGACCAGCCACCAGCAGCCACCTCTGCCGGTGTGCCCCGTGCTGCTGCGCAGGCAGGCGGCGACTACTCCGCCAACGGCTCCCACGGCTCCAGCGACAACAGCAAGCGCGTGCAGCGGCTGCGCACCATGTACCGCCACATGCGCCAGATCTCGCTCTGCGACAGCGACCGCGCGGCGCTGGTGCGCGGCGCGGCTGGCCGCCCGAGCCGGCCTGCCTGGTTGCCGGTGCTTTGCACGCGCACATGGCCCGCAGCTTGGTGGGCCTGCACCTCGGCCTTCCAGCCTTGCATGGCCCAGGCCCAGGCGTGCTCCCGACGCGCGGCATGTGCTGCTGCCCACTGCACTGCGCCCTGCAGGCCACTATATCGCAGGAGAGCGCGGCGGAGGAGCCGGCGGGCGCCACGCTGCAGATGCGCGGCCTGGTGCTGCCGTGGCTGACCGGCAGCGAGGGCGGCGGCGGCGGCGGCGAGGGCGCGCCCACCTCTGCCGTCAAGTCAGTTGACGAGGTTCTGGCAGAGGTGGACTCCGCCCTGCAGGCAGCAGAGGAGGCCATGGAGCGAGGGAGGAGCCCCTAGCTTGCGGCGTGGCACTCTGTGGCGGGCGGCAGCGGCGGCAGCGTGGCCAGCGGCAAGGGCGGGAGCGGGAGCGGCAGCGCCCTGGCGCGCGTGCCAAACGGCTCGCTGCTGGCTGCCTGACCGCCTGCAACCTTGTGCATCTCCTGTTGCAAAAGCTTTGGGGTGCAAAACCAAGTTCAGGCCGACAGCCATTCAGCTGGGGTGCAGCGCACGGGCGTGTGCAAGGTCAAGGGCAGTACGCACGCAGCGTCACTCCCGCCTTCCAGTGCACTGCTGGCTGGCACACTCCCGCCGCGTGCCAACACTCGTCCTCTTCTTCCGCCTCCCAACATCCCCCGCAACCTCTCTCCCTGCGTCTGAAGCCCGCTCCTGTCGCCCTACTGCCCCTGCCCTCCAAGCGCGGGAAGCCACCGCGGGCCTCCCACAGCCTCGCTGCGGCCCCCAGCAATCCCAACATCGATCATGGAGTTTGATCTGGAGGGTATGGGCCTGCGGGAGCCCGAGGACTGGACGCCAGCGGCTAGGACCGACGGGGAAGCTTCACTTGGAGCGGACTTTGCCGAGCAGGTGGGGCTGCGGCAGGGTTGGGGAGGGTGCCCTGGGCGAAACCCAAATGGCCAATTGGCTGCAGCGGGCCGGAGGGGAGGGCGGGTCGGGGGCCCGCTTCAAAAATGGAGGGAGCGGCATGTGCCCTAGCACCACGTTGCCCTTGCCCATCACCCCCGCCGATCTCAGGCAGCGGGACGGCGGGGTGTGAGTGGTGGGTTTGCTGGCGGTTTGGTGCTCCTTGCATGATTGGAGGTGATGAAAGGAGGGGCCACCCTGTGGCCGCTCCTCTGCCCCCGTCCGCTTGTCCTTTGGCTCTAGCATCGCCCCTGGGGTCCCGATGTGGGCCCTGACGGCCCCGCCCCGCGCCTGCCCCTGCCACGTCTCGGCAGCCTCGCCGGTTCGCCTTCCTGCGGCCTTGGTCTCCTTAGAACCCGCTCCCCCTTGTTTCCCTCGCTTTCTGCACCCACCCCCACTGTCCGATCACCCCCATTCTGCCGCTCCTGTGATGGACGCGCAGCAGTGTCTTGTGAACGCTGATGTGCTGCTGGTGAGGCCGCCGCCCCTCGCTGCCTGTCCCCCAGGCCCCGTGCTGACCTCGCCGACACTGCATGCCGCCTGCCCGCTGCAGGACTCGCTGCTGGACGACTGCCTCTCGGGGCACAGCCTTGGGGCCAGCCTCCTCGGGCCCTGCGACAGCATGGGGGCCGTCGACCACTTCCCCTGCATAGCGGACGAGCTGGAGGAGCAGGCCAAGCAGCTGGAGGGGGACTGGTGAGCGCCCGGGCCGCCGCGCTTCCGGGGCCTGCCGCCCGCAAGTCCAGCTGGGAGCCCCCCGCCCCTCCCACCACGCGCCCCGTCTCGAGCCTCAGGCCGCCCCCTGCTCCTTGACTCGACCCTTCCTGCAGGCTCAACCCCAGCCAGCTCGCCGCCCTGGCCGATGGCAAGGCGGTGCACCTTGCGGGCTCGGGCCGCGCCAGCCGCCTGGCGCTGCACGCTGAGCTGAAGCGCATGGAGCAGCAGCAGCAGCAGCAGCGGCAGCAGCAGCAGCAGCAGCAGGAGAAGGAGCAGCGGTCTCGGCCCGCGGAGGGCGCGGGGCCTCAGCGCCAGGCCAGCGGCGTGCGCGAGGAGCCGGTCACCCCGCAGCGCCACAGCACCGCCAACGACTCGTCCTGGAACGAGTCGCCGCTGCCCGGCGGCGGCGCCGGCCTGGATGCGGGAGAGGTGCAGTCGCCAGGTGAGCGCTGCGCTGCGCTGCGCTGCGGGGCGGCGCCTGCGCAGCCCTGGCAAGGCGCACGCCTGCGCGGCTGGGGTCCCGAGGGGCCGCCGCTGCTTGTTGCATTCCGCACTGGCACAGCGCGCGCCGTGCAGGCCAGCCGGCCGACTCTGCCTGCCTGCCTGCGCCCCCCGCCCTCCTCACCGCCTGCAGACCCCGTGAAGCTGCTGTCCCTGCCCAGCGGCCCCAGCGGCGCGCAGCGGCCCCCGCTGGCTGCCGCCATCAGCAACGCGCAGAGCGTGCGGCTGGGGCGGGAGCCGGCGCCCGGCGCCTGGCGCGGGTGTGGCAGGTGCGCCCACGCCGCGCTGCCGCTCACGCAGCAGCCATGCGTGCCGGCTAGCTGTCCCTTCCCTCCTGCCCACAGCCCCTTCGCCTTTTGCCTCGCACCCCGCACCCCGCACCCCGCCCCGCTGCTGACCCCAGCCCTCCCGGCCTCCCCTGCGTGCCCCCTCCCCTCACCCCCTCTCCGCAGAAGCGCGTGGTGCAGCCTGGAGCCGCGCCACGGCGGCGCCTGCACCGACTGCGCGGCCGTGCCGGGCCTGCTGGCCTACCCGCCGCTGGAGCTGTTCCACTCTGGCGTCAACATTGAGGAGCTGTGCAGGGTGCCAGAGGAGCTGGAGGAGGAGGCGGAGGCGGAGGGGGTGCCTGCGCCAGACACAGAGTCGGAGGGCGAGGGCGGCCGCCCCGCCGCCGCGGCAGGCTGCCTGAGCAGCGGCAAGCGGTGCGCGGAGGCGGAGGCCGACGACGGCGCCAGCCACAGCCAGAGCGGCGGCGCTGCCAGCAGCAGCAGCCCCGGCGCGGCGGTGGAGCAGCCGCGGCCCGCGGGCCCCGCAGCCAAGCGCAGGCGCGGCGGCGAGGTGGGCAGCCCAGCAGGCGGCCTGGCCGCGGCGCTTCCTGACCTGGCGGCGGCGGCGGCGGCCGCGCTGGAGCCGCCGCCGGCGATGCCGGTGCCGGAGCTCGCAGACGGCCTGGGCCCGCCCTCGCTGGCGGCGGCGGCTGCGGCGGCCATGGAGCTCTCCCTCCACCCGCTGCTCTGCATGGTGCCCGTGGCCCTGCCCCCGCCGCCGCCGGGCGCCCTGGACATGCCCCAGTTTGCGCCGCCGGTGCCGCCCATGCCGGCGCCCAGCCTGGGGGCATACCTGCGCAACCTGGGGCGCCCCGCCGGCGCGCCGCGCCTGCGCCCGCTGCCCACGGCGCCGCCGCCGACGCCGGCCGAGGCCAAGCCCGTGGCCGCCGCCGCCGCCGCCGCCACGCCCTCCAAGCCCGTCACCCGCCAGAAGCACACGCACACGCCCAGCGGCGCCGCCGCTCCTGGTGAGCACGCTGCGCCGTGCTGTGCTGCGCTGGGGCGGCGCCTGATCGGCACCAGCCCCTCGTGTGCCGCCGGCCCCGGCCCGCTCCACCCCCCTGTGCCAGCTCCGCCTGCCCACACAGCCTGCTGACCTGCCGCTGCCTGCTGCGCCCCCTGCCCTGCGCTGCCTGCCTGCAGCGGCGCCCCGCAGCTCTGGCCGCCGCACGGTGCTGCAGTGGCACACCGACAGCGTGACCGACCCGCGCACAGGCGCCGCCATCACCGCTGTGCAGCCCGGCACCTTCTGCACGCAGGTGGGTGGGTGGGTGGGTGGTGCAGCCAGCAGCCAGCAGCACCCTGCCGCTACCGGCATTGGCACCGCAGGCCGCCCCAACCGCACACCCCTGTCACCCCTCCCTCTCGCCCTCCTGCCGTGCTGACGCCGTCTTCGCCCTGCCCCCCCCTGCCCGCAGTGCTATGCCCTCAGCACCCCCGTGTGGCGCGCCGGCCCCTTTGGTGAGCACCGCTTAGCCGGCTGTGGCTGAAAGGGCGCGCCGCCGCTGCCGTGCGCCCGTCCCCTGCCTGCACCACCCCTCACCGGCCCTCTGCCTCCCCCTGTGTGGGTGCAGGCCCTAAGAGCTTGTGCAACGCCTGCGGCGTGAGGTGGATGAAGTACGCAAAGGGCTCCAAGAAGTGAGCCAGCCAGCGAGGCGGGGCGGCGGCAGGCCCGCGCCGCCGCCGCCCGCGCCGCCGATCTCCTTTCGCTGGGGCCCAGCCCGCGCCCGGGCTGCACGCGCGCAGCACGGCTGGCAGCCGCGCCGCCGGCAGCCCCGGGCCCCGCGGCAGGAGCCCCTTTTGTAGCCTCGGGCTCTCACCATATTTTTGTGTGTGACATATCATCATGATGCTGCAGCTCCCTGCTCTCTTCTCCCCGTCCGCATCTGCCCTGTTCCACCTTGTGCGCTACGTAGCCCCTTACCACCCTCTCCTCATGTGATGTACTCTGGTTGTTCCCTCTTTGCCCTCGCTCAGCCTCCGCGCCCCCTGCTTGCCTGCCGCACATCTGCGCCGGTGCGCTGTTTTTCCCAGCATCCCCAAAATTTCTATGAAAAGAAACAACTTGCCCAACGAGCCCTAGCGGGATTCTGAAACACTTGCATTTGCATTTGCATCCCATTTACGACGACGCCAGACATAACACGCACACACACACACACACACACACACACCCTGCATTGCCTTGCTTCATCATCTTGGGTCTCCCTGCTGCCCCCCGTCTCCCGCTCCTTTTGTTTCCGTCGCCTGCTGCACCGCTCGCCTCTGCGCTTTCGTTTGCTGCTTGCTGTTTGTAACACACAGCACCAACAAACATCCAAAGCCGTGGCTGCAGAGCCAGCACTGCTGCCAGGGCGTCCCCCGCTCCCCACCCAAGCCTGCTGCAGCGGGCGGGCCCAGCTTTCACCATTTGATGTCTCATCCCTCGGGCAGACTGGTGCAGGGGCATTGTGCAAGTGCCGCTTGCCGGTTCCCGCTCGTCCCTCGCAAGGGGCAGGTGCCTGCTGCCATCCCAGCGCCCACCGCGCCCAGGGCTGCGCCCCCTGCCATTCCTCCTGGCTTCTGAATCATCGATGTGTAACAGAAATGGGGCTGGCAAAAGGGCATTGGCGGTTCATTCGCAGACGGGGGACATGGGCACAGGCAATTCGTTGCACGGTGGAGAAGAGGCAGACCGGGGGGACGTGGGCAGACACAAGCGGTGCTCCAAATGAAAGGTCGATGGAAACAGGGCGACGGCAGCATCAGCGGGGGGAGCAAACAGGGGCTCTTTGGTCGCGCACACGCGTTGGTGGTACACGACACACTGAACGGCTCCGGTGGGAGCGGAAGAAAGCGGAGAATAAAGAATGCATGCAGCCATCAATCAAATTTGTCTCGCAGCAGTTTCGCACGGGTGGGAAGCTGGCGGCCTCACTTTTGGCTTGGGATTAGATCAGATGCGTGCAGTGATTCCAGCCGCCGCATGGCTGGCGGGGAGGGGAGTGTCTGCGCCACTCGGCAGCCGAGGCCCTCCGCGCGCCAGCCACGCGCGCCGCCGCGGGGGCGGGCAGCCGCCGCGTGTTGTGTTGTGTGTTGTGGTTTCCCTGGGGGTTGTCCCAGCGGGGTGGCCGGGCCGTGGCCTGCTCGGCCCAGGCGCCGCCTCAGATCTTCTGGGTGGGCGTGGTGACGGCGTTCTTGTCGGCGGTGGCCTCGGGCGTGGGGCCAGGCCCGTATTTGAGCTCCGTCAGCACCGCCTCCCACTTCTTGGCGGGCTGGCTCCAGGACAGGTCCTGGGCGATGCAGCGGTCGCGCATGGCGGTGTAGGCGGGGGTGCCGTACGTCTCGGCGGCGCGCTTGATGGTCTGGGCCACCGCCTCCGCGTCGCCCTCCTCCAGGCGGTCGGGGTTCATGGCGCCCATCTGGAAGCCCGTCACGCCCTCCTTCACAGTGTCCACCAGGCCGCCGGTGGAGGCCACCAGCGGGACGGTGCCGTACTGCGGGGGAGGGAGGGAGGGAGGGAGGCAAGGGGTGGTGGTGGTGAGCGGTTGAGTGGGGAGCGGGGGCTGAGCTGGGGGCGGGCGCGAGCAGGACAGCAGCAGCAGCACACAGCAGGCCTCGAGTGCCGGCGCGCCGCGGGGTGCGGCTGCCCGCTGCCAGCCAGGCATGCCCTCTGCTGCGGCCGCGCGCCCGGCCCGCCCCGCGCACCTGCATGGCGTGCAGCTGGATGAGGCCGCAGGGCTCGAAGCGGGAGGGCACCAGCATGAAGTCGGCGCCCGCGGTGATGCAGTGGGCCATGGGGTTGGAGAACTTGACCACGCCCGCGGCCACGCCGGGGAAGGTTTTGGAAAGCGCCTTGACCTGCGCCTCCAGAGCCTTCTTGCCAGTGCCCAGGATGACCACCTGCATCCCGCGGCGGGCGGGGAGGGAGGGAGGGAGGGGGCGCAGAGGAGGGGGTGAGCGCGTAGGGCAAGCGCCGGGGCGGGGAGGTGGCGTGCCAGCCAGCCAGCCAGGCAGGGGAGGGGAGCATGGCGCTGGCGGGCCTGCCACCCCTGGAGCGCCCCCGCGGCTCCGCTGCCCTGCCTCCACCGCCCGCCTCGCCTCCCACCCCCAGCCCGGCCCAGCCCAGCCCAGCGCCGCGCAGCCCACCTGCACGGGGGAGCCCTTGGGCAGCTTCTTCAGCGCCGCCAGCAGGATGTCCACGCCCTTCTGCTCCTCCAGGCGCCCGATGAAGCCAAAGACGGGGGTGGAGGGGTCGACGGGCAGGCCCGCCTCGCGCTGCAGCTGGCTCTTGGCAAACGCCTTGCCCGCCTCCACAGTGGTCTTGTCGTACTTGAACTTCAGGAACTTGTCCTGCAGGGGGGCGGTACGGGGCGGTACAGGGCGGTACGGGTGAGGTATGGGTGCCAGGGTACGGCAAGGAGCAAGGCATGGGGGACGGGCAGGCGCTGGCCCCGCTCAGTGCCCAGGCGGATGTGATCAGCACTGCTGGCCGCGCCCGCCGCCGCGCGCATCGCACCAGTGCGGGGCTCCACTCCTCCACGTCCATGCCGTTGACGATGCCCTCCACGCCCTTGGCCTTCACCCACTTGTCCAGCTCCACGCCCAGCTGAGGGCCGCTGGAGATCTCTGCGCAGGGCAGGGGGCAAGGGCACGGGGGCGGCCAGTGAGGGTGGGACAGAGCCGTCAGGGGCACAGGCTCCACGCCGGCGTGGCCACAGGCAACGGCCCAGCTGCTCCATCGCCGCCTCGGCTGCTCGCCACCCCCCAGCCCACGCCCCCCCAGCCCCACAGAGGCCCAGGCCCACACAGCAGCCCAGCCGGCGCTCACCTGTGGCGTAGTTGGGAGACACGGTGAGCAGCTTGTCGCAGGCCAGGATGCCGGCCTTCAGCCAGTTGAGCTTCTTGAAGCTGGTGCCGGTGGACTGCAGCAGGGGCGCTTGAAGATAGGGCGGCAGGGTCGGCGCCAGGCCGGGCCAGGGGGTAGCAGCCGGGCACGGTAGAAGCAACAGCCCCACACCCGCGGCGCCCCGCCAGCCGCCCCCTCCTCCCACCGCCCCGCTACTCCCCGCCCGGGGTCAAGTCCTCGCCTCGATGGGGCTGAGGGTCGGACTTACATTCACCTCATTCATCTTGTCCTCGTCGGCGGGGGAGGCCTCGTCAAAGACCTTGGGGTAGCCGTCGCTGAAGGTGAACAGCTCCTGTGCCTCGGAGGGCAGGCCCAGGTCGCCAAACGAGTCGCCCCAGAAGCGGCCCTGGAAGGCGATGTTGTGGATGCACAGGGCGGTCTGCAGGAGGGAAGGGGGCAGGGGGTGCAGGGGCGGTGTGGGAGGGTGGGCACGAGGCAGCAGGCGCGCATGCGCTGAGGGGGCTCAAACCCCAAGTGCCACACCGCATAGCCTGGCTGCCCTCGGGCTCGCGGAAGGGACAGGTGCCAGTGCGCAGGCGGCTCCTGTGCCACACCGCTGCCTCGCACACAGCACACACACAAGAGCGCACACACACACACACATACACGCGCGCGTGCAGGCAGCCAGGCGGGCTGGCCAGCGCACCT